AGGTAGGTGCAGTACCCCCATCACTGGCCATATTGGCCACCGTTTAACTCTAACTGAACCTGGCTGCTTCTGTGTCATTAAAGCCTAGTTAGTGTTTGTACGTGTTCTAGAAATGGGGTCTTGATCTCCAGTCATTAAGGATACTGAACCTACTGCTCTCTGTGGTGCTTTATTCCAGCAGCTGATCATCATTATTTGTAGTAAGCTGAATTTCTCATCTCCATTTCCATGACTTCGGCTTTGTACCACTGGTTTTGCTATATCCTCCACTGGATTAACAAAGACTTCAAGGGGTGGCACCGTCTCCTCATGACAGTGCTTCTGCATGTAAACCAGAGATTTCTCACTCCTGTTTGAGAAAGTTCTGACCTGTTCGAGGCTGTCACTTCCTCCCTCACAAAACTGAAATGTCACCAGAAGGAGTAGGAAATAAAAAAAGGTAAAATACATTGCAGTGAGAAAAATATGGGTAGAGGCCAGCCCTGTTCAGCACATGCTGAATAGCCGTGCTGTGTCGTGGCGGTCCTCTGCTTGGGCACAGTGGCAGGTCCAGCAGCTGGATATCTGCACACCTCACATTTCTAAGTTCATCTAGTTCTGCTCAGGTGCAATTTCCAGTGGAAAGAGATCTAGTATCAAGGGAAATGGGGAGATATGATAGTCCAGCTTCACACATTCTTCCAAAACAGTAAGCATGCCAAGAAATAATTGAGCTTCCTGGCTTAATAAGTCATTTGGCATTCCTGTGGGTTTGTTAGTTTTTTTTCTGATTGGAAAATAAGAACAAAAATTCTCATATATACTATGCCAAGTGCAAGGTCCTACACCTGGGTCAGAGCAATCCCAGGCACAGCTACAGGTTGGGCAGAGAAGAGATTCAGAGGAGCCCTGAGGAGAACGACTTGGGGGTGCTGGTCGATGAGAAAATGAACATGAGCCGGCTTCAGTGTGAGCTTGCAGCCCAGAAAGCCAACTGTATCCTGGGCTGCATCAAAAGGAGCGTGACCAGCAGGTCGAAGGAGGTGATCCTGCCCCTCTACTCTGTTCTCGTGAGACCTCACCTGGAGTATTGTGTGCAGTTCTGGTGTCCTCAACATAAGAAGGACATGGAACTGTTGGAACAAGTCCAGAGGAGGCCACAAGGATGATCAGGGGACTGGAGCACCTCCCGTATGAAGACAGGCTGAGAAAGTTGGGGCTGTTCAGCCTGGAGAAGAGAAGGCTGCGTGGAGACCTCATAGCAGCCTTCCAGTATCTGAAGGGGGGATATAGCGATGCTGGGGAGGGACTCTTCATTAGGGACTGTAGTGATAGGACAAGGGGTAATGGGTTAAAACTTAAACAGGGGAAGTTTAGATTGGATATAAGGAAGAAATTCTTTACTGTGAGGGGGGTGAGGCACTGGAATGGGTTGCCCAGGGAAGTTGTGAATGCTCCATCCCTGGCAGTGTTCAAGACCAGGTTGGACAGAGCCTTGGGTGCCATGGTTTAGTGTGAGGTGTCCCTGCCTATGGCAGGGGGTTTGGAACTAGATGATCCTAAGGTCTTTTCCAACCCTAACTATTCTGTGATTCTATGATTCATATGTAACTGAGGGTCTTTAGGCTTAGGGGCAAAGCGGACTGAATCTTAATGTTCTCATCAGGGGAGACATACAGCCGAACCATTTCTGCTGTATTTCAGAGTCATTCTGCAGTGTTGAATGTTATTTTTTCTTCTTCTTTTGCTGTCCCTTTGATATTTTTAATGTCAAACAAATAATTTCTTATGTACTCTCTGGGGAAAGTAGAGAGGCACTAGAAAGCTGTGTTTCCCTGGGAGGAAGATAATAAACATGGGGAAAGAAATGTTAGAGTGCTTCTTCTGTGTTAAAGCATCCTGTGGGGTGGTTTTCAGCAAGTGTGTTAAAACTTCTGTTCAGCTAGTGGTTTCACCTCCGTGTATGGGGAATTCAGCGGTAGGAAATTTCAGTGCAACATTCTGCACCCATTAGAGCAGAATTCTGTAGGAAAGGTTTTTGTCCACTTTGCACAGCATGTGAAAGCAGAGGGGAACCTCTGGAACCTGCATCACTAATCTGTATGCTTTGTAACCATTCAGCAACACTAATATTGTTCCTAATTTCTTGGGAAATTGCAAGGTGGTGTTTAGATGAAGTTTCTTGCTAATACAGTCTTAATGATACCGGTAATTCAAGTCAGTATTTAGGTATTGCAAAAATAAATCTAAAGTGTGGATTTCAGAATGCATGAGCATAATCAGCCCAATCAGTTTGAGATATTCACCTTTCTTATAATTATCTTAATCTCGTTATTTTACTTGGAGCCAAATTTTAAGTACATGCATGAGGCTTTTCAGAATAGACAGTTGACTTCCAAAGCTTGATAGTTTTCACTACAAGCGACAGTGATGAACGCTCTGCTTTGTTTGCTGCCTCCAATTGGTTTTGACCATTCCTTCATCATTTCCTACTTGTTCACCCAAGCAGACACTTCTTTCCTTTTCTTGTCATAAATATATAGCTGTTTTGTCAACAAATAGCATCATTTCTTTCTTAAAAAAAATGACCAAAACTAAACAGAGGACTAGATTTGTGTTTAAAGTATTGAGTTATGCACTTTCTGTCCATACTATTGTAATCAAGAGTTGCTGGCTCACCAAGCAGGTTGCTGTTTCATACTATTAGTAATGAAAGCCCTTTCCCATTCTCTCCTCTGCAATTAACAGAATTCCCCAGAGCACTGTGTAAGTAAGCTTAAACACACAGGCTCAGAATTCATGCAATTTTTCTTTGATCTGTTCCGTGGCAGACCTGTGTCTCGCTTTTTTAGGATTCAGGCCTGAAAAGTGAATTCTTTATAAACTCTAAAATGTTTTATGTATGTATATGCATATGGCATAACTTACCAGTTCTGTCAACTAAAGGATGAAGTGGATGAAGATATAAACATCTAAACCTATATATGAAGAATCTTCCATTAGAAATTATTTTATACGTACAAATACTTCTGCAATTTTCCTTGTAGTGCATATATATGTTTATATATACATGTCCAGAAAGCATCTGCTTTGGTCATTGAGACTTGTTTTAGTTTTACTTTACTCTTTTGCTTACTGGAAATAATGTAAAAAACATTTCCTAATACCATATTTATTCCTTGAAGCATCATTTTGGTTTCATGCTATTATTCCTTGTGCAACTGTTCTCAGTAAGGATGGAATCCAGTCTTGTGCCTGTGTGCATTCAAAAGATATTTAAGTGTATGGGACTGACAGGTGGCCAGAGGAATGCAATAGGGGTTCCTGAAAAGTACATTCCACCTTTTTTATGGAACTTAGGACAGAAAAATTATATCTCTCTTTTCACTGATAATGGGTTTTCTTCTGTTTTCCTTCTGTGTTTTTATCTAGGCCAAAACATACAGAAGGACAGAGAAAATTACCCTGCTCAAATCTGCAAGCCCAGACTATGACTTGAGGCTGGGAAACTCCATGCTTTATTGTTTCCTTGTACCTACACAGAGTCTGAACGAACAGCTCACATTAGTCAACCTGCTGTTAAATTGCTAGCCAGGTTAAATTTAGACTGCTTTTAATCGCAAGTGTAGCTTTGAACCTCCTGTGTGAACCCATTTTGCCCAAAGGGTTTGATAATGCAACAGCCTTAGCACCCAGTGCAGACAGCATCACTTCACAGGGTCAGACATCAGTGTCTGTCCATGGGTTGGGCAGAAGATGGGTGGGAGGGAGGCAGGTTTGGACTAGTTTTGTCTTCATAAATAACACACTGTGGTGCAGCAGGTTGTTTCAGTCCCCACGATACTTACCCACTAAAATGCAAATGAAAAAGCTGAAATAATATAAGAAGATCCTGGGAATGATGTAGCATAAGGAAGCTGGAAATCTCACAATGATTACTAGCACTGTAACAAATTGTTATCACTACTTCCACTGTCATTCCCTTTTTGCTTGGATTTTGTCCTGAATTTGGCTTTAGCAGGAAGAGTCCATGAAAAAGGTTTCTAAAATAAAACAGTGCTTCTGATTTTCTAATTTTAACTTCTTTTTTTTTTTTAAGTATGCATGCCTGTGTTTCCAGAAAACATTTTCAAGAGGGGATAAAAATCAAGGCTTTTCATCCTTGTAACTGTATAATGATGTCCCTACTCTTCCTGCTGTTAAATATTTATCACCTGTGTGTTTTCCCTGGTTCCCAATTGCACTGACAACAGGTTTGTAATCACTAAACCATGGCTCAGCTACACTGAAAGCAAAAAAAGAAAAAGTAAAGAAAATTGAAATACAAGGGGCTGTTAAAAGGCTACCAAAGTGATTCAGTGTATTAGGGCTCCTGAGCAGCAGCCACTGGTGATCAATACCTGGTGCCACTGCTCAGCTCACAGTCACCTCATCACTTAATAGCAAGTTCCTTGAATTCAGTGTGCAAGGAGAGAAAAGAGGGAGTTACATTTTTGGAGTGCATGGCCTCTGAAGGAGAGGAAAAAGAGAAAGGTGTAAGAAGGACTTTAATTAAAACACTGTGTGGCTAACATAGAGTTGTTACAAGAGACTTCCTTATGGGAAAGGGTTTCTACACATGGGTTGCAAGGGCGTCAGTAACAAGCCTCCTAAAGGGAAACAGACTGGGTTATAACGGAAGTGTTTAAGGCAGTAATTCTTCATAGATTCATAAAACAAAACTCTTACCAGTGTTACAGGTTGCTGGAGTTTTCTCTAGGTGTGTCTTCTGCCCTAGGTAAATCGGCACTTTTTTCCCCTTACCAGCCGTGCAGCCTGTAGAGACATTTACTCATCCTGTTGCTGCTTCTGTGCACATCACCTTCCCACTGACCTGCATTCCACCCAGGTCCCACCAGCCACCCCCCAAACTGATGTTCACCTTGTTTCTATGTTGTGCAGCGAACTCTAACTAACCCTCTGTACTTCTCGTGAGGAGAAACGTTAAACTCCCTCTAACCGAGTTCTTTCTCTCTTCGCAGATCTTGAGAACTTCAAAACCAGAACAAGAAGCACTGTCTCTGTCCGCCAGGGCCAGGGCATGGTGCTGCTGTGTGGACCACCACCGCATTCTGGAGGTAAAGTGGGTTCCTTCTCTTGTTTCCAGCACTTGGCGACCTTAAGCAAGGTTTTAATTCTCAGGATATGTTCTGGGAAGTTTAAAAGGGCAAACCTTAAAAAAAAAAGAAGGCTATGGCAGTGCTAGCCTGACTGAATGGATCATGCTGAACCCATACAATGGTTTGTATTGACTAAACGCACTGGGAGATCTCCAGTTGGTGTAAATACAGAGAAATAGACAAATTTTACTGCATTATGGGTATGTACTTAGGAGATGAACTGATTGAAACAGAATATAAAGCAGTGCGTGCATATACAGAAGATAAGGCCAAGATCTTGTGCAATTTTCAGAAGCTTTTCTGTATGTGGCCTGGGTGTGTCTTCTGCAAAAAGGTTGAAGATTGCTGACAGAGCCACTTTTATGCATCATCTTTTCATTATTATTCGGGTTTTTTTTCAAACACTCATTGTCACTCTTTTGCCTCCTGGGTACTTGGGATCCATTAGCAATCGTCCAGGTCTCATATGATTTAATTCTGGAATGGCAATACATATTCTTCCTACTGTTTTTATGGCAGCAATACATTAAAATCCATTATTATTACAGAGACAGGTACTAACTGTAACTCAGAGCTCATTGAGTGTTCAGAAATACAGACTGTTGAGAAAAGGACATAACCTGTCTTGACAGTTACTGGCATCTCTGCCTCTGAAAGAGGTAGATTTCTGACTTTGGTGGAGAAACAGAAAAGCTGTAGTAGCAGACAGGCAAAAAATAAATAATTAATGGCACTAAGGAAACTAGTGTTAACTCAGTGGCAAAGGCAAAATTTGGTAGGGAAAGAATAGATTCAAAGTGAAATTTACCTATAGCCAGTTACAATAAGTAATGAACAGAGGCAGTGGGGTAGCCGTGGATGTTAGGGAGTGTTTTAACTGTCTAGAACTTAATGATGGTGACAATAGTGTTGAGTGTTTATGGGTCAAATAGGAGCAAGTGCTTGAGGAGCTTCTTTGTTTTCATCTGACCAGCTGGTAAATTTATTCAGCTGGGGCCCCTCTCACCTTTTGGTCTGGAGATTATCATGAGAAATTCAGTGTCTCGGCTTTCTGATGTTCATTACATGAAAGCTGTTCTTGAATCTGTGATATCAAGTCCACAGAACTAGTCGTTACTACAGTAGCTAACTTATATGAGAGTGGCTGATATAGAGTTAAATATTCCCTAAAATTATGTGCCTTTTGGTCTGGGTAGATGGACCCCTGCAGGTGGATCTCATTGCCATATCTGATGAGGCAGTTGCCAAAGCTAGGTGTTAAAAACCACTGAAGACTGCTTGTGGGTCAGCCACGAACTCATTTGCAGTCTGCAGTGCTGTGGGTGAAGCATCATTTTTAGCTTAATTTCCATAGTGAAGAAAGGTGAGGAGGTTTGGAACAGAAATGCTTTGTGATTCTGAAATCTGAATGCCTTGAACGTGAGACTGAAGAGCGGTGTGTGCCCTCATCCTATCCCAGACTGATTGTGCTGTGCAAAGGTGGATAGTATCAACCAGCCAAGCTCAGGGAGGGCTGTGTGGCTGGATACTGAGCTGCACTGCTCTGAAGAGCTCAGGAGGTTTTGTGCCCTTTTCCATTTAGAGTTAACCCCATCCACACAGCCCACTACTGCGGGCACTGGGGGCCATGCAGTGCTTCGTCCCATTTCTGCCCAGTCAAGTAGGCTACTATCTCCTAAGAGGGACATAGGGACTGCACAGACAATGCAGAGACGAGGTGGAATTGTGTGCATTTGTCTTAGTCTCCTTAGCAAAGCATTGCTCTGTGGTTATGGAGAGTTTTCTGTTCTGCTGTAAGAAATCTTTGTCTGGAGATGTGGTGGCTGGTAGTGGTTCATGCAAACAGGAAGAAGGAAATTGTGGTACATTTGTTCAGGGGAAAGCTTTGGTGTACGTACTGATGATCACAAAAGCATTCCAGAAAAGTGCTGGTGTTGTTTCCTGTTTGGGTTCAGTATGCATGAAAGAGCATTTTACAGGGACCGGGAGGTAATCATGTTTCTATTCCCAGAAAGGCACAAAACTCAAGGATAATTATTTCCCTCAATCATTCGGATGAGGGATGACTTTCCTGTGTGACCACTACCTATGACCTGCTCTATTCCAGCTAGAAAATTATTTTAATTGTAGCCAGATCCACAATTAGTTTAAATTGATACTAGTGCAATTTTGTAATTAAGCAGGGCTGGAGTTGTGCCGGTTGTTTTGTGGTTTGGATTGAAAGTGTTTAATGGAACGGCAAAATAGGTCCAGTTAATTCAGACTGAGCCCCTTGTTCTGCAGGAATTAATCTTCTCCGTGGCAGTATTTTCTTTTAGTTTTCCTTTCTCCTATGGTTAGAAGTAAGGGCAAGTTTCAAAAGCAACTGCAAAGTTAATGCTTTTCAGTCGTGTGCATCGTGTTTCCGTTAGCGAACTGCATGTCTCCCAGTGTAATCGAAGCTATTTGGTCTCTAGCAGTCACTGCACAATTACCACAGCTATCTCCTGTTCCAGCTCTGGGCAGATGGAGGTTCGTAAGAGAGTATCAGATATCACTGGGAAGTAGCTGCACGTCAGGAAACCGCCTTGTTCATGAGCAGCTGCCATCCCCAGGGCCCAAGGCAGTGTTTGCAAAGCAAAGCTGTAGAGATCAGTTCCTTCCAATACCCCAGTATGCCACGGCTGGGATATTACGTTGCAAGTATTTAACATTGTAGTGCAACAGTAAAAAACATTCAGGGTAAAAGTGAAAAATAGAACATCTCATTGAAAGTATGAGGGGTGTTAAGATAGAGAAAATGCAATTACTTATTTTGGAATTTCATTAGGACAAGAAACCTAACTTCATCAACCTTGCAAAAAGTGCCTGGCCACATTAATGACCACTGCTGAAGCACAGGACTGTTGAGGCTGGGGGGGAGGATAAATTATTATTACTATTATTATTATTATTATCATCATGATCATTGCTGTTGTGATTATTTAGTTTCTGATGTGAATTGAAAATGAAATCTTAAAAAAATAATAATTTTAAAAAAGAAAAACTGTTTGATCTGAGAATAGCTGTTGCTTTGATGGTGAGAATATTCACTAGACTTGTAGAAGCCTGGAGAAAAAAACCAAACATCCTGGCCAGTTCCTGAGCACAGAGCTTAGGACCTGGTGGCAGAGACAGAGGGTTGAGAAGTTTTGCTTGATAGGTAAGGCTTCCCAGGTGTCTGAGGAAGGCTCAGTGCCAGCGTCATCTCCATTTTCAGGTGACTCAAGTGGCAACTCTTAGAGACCCCCTTAACTGAATAGATTTGAGAAAAGGAAAATAGCAAATTAGAAGGGAATTATTTCCTGTCCACTGTTGTGTCATTGGTTGTGTTGGTCTTAATAATTGTGGATTTTATTAAAAAACTGTCCATCTTCATCCAGACCTTTATCCTTTCAACTGTATTTCACTGTAATACTTTGCTACTTGGAAACATCCATATTTAAAAAGCTGGCAGCTAAAAGTGAAATTATGTTGCCCTACATATATTAGCTGTTGAGGATTGCTTTTTTTTATCTTGGTTTTAATGATGCCAAATAAAGGGCTTCCTACTGTTCAAATGTTACAAGAAATTCATCCTGAAAAGGAAAACAAATGATTAAGAAGTATTTTTAGCGTCATAAAATGGGCCTTGTACAGCTTGCACAGAACAATTTGGGCATTGCCATGTATTATCCCAATTTTTAGTTTAATATGAGTTGGAAATTCAGCATATGAATCTAGGCTTCCTCCCTGGTCCCCTGAGATGAAAATGAAATGTGTATTTCTTGCAGCATGGTTTCAGCAGGGAGTCGCTATTTTGTCAGGTCAGTGCGCTCTGGTGTTACATTTTGTTAAGCAGCATAATGATGTGATTGCCTCCTATGATGAAATGCATGCTGAGTCCTGGAAATTTGCAAAATAAATGTTCATCTGGAGCTTGGGAAGTTGCTGGACTGAAAACGAGAATAAATGCAAATCAGACATTTGCTTCGGTTGTATTTTCTGCTCTTAGAGCAGTAGATGCCTGAGCCCCCGAAGCCAGTCCTGCTGTATTTATGGTGCCCTGTCTGTTAAGAGTTTTCAGTTCTTTTCCTTTTTTGTTTGCCTTCCCCATTTGTTCACTTACATGCACTAAATCAGCATCAGAACTAGTAGAAACCTACCTGTGCTGTTAGCATAATTACCCTGCACATAAATGGTTTTCCCTCATTATTTCCTCTGCTTTTTTAGTCAAAAGCCTAATGATGGCTGTATGTGGACAATTCTGCCTGTGAAGCTCTATGGACAAAACAATGTGAAAGTGAACACTGCTGTGGGAACATGTCATTCGGGGCCATGTAACAGTATGATGAGTGGCTGTAGATGTTGAAGTGGACAAGAGACAACAATCAAAGGTCCTAAAAGTATGTGCATAGCTAAAATTTGGATAATAGTTTTGTTGCAGCACATGAGGGTCCCCATCACAGCTGCTGTCCCATACCACAATGTTAACTGGGCAGTCCCCAGTATTTGAATCACATTAACAAGTTGGAAATGGGGGGAGCATCAAAAAGTTTTTATGACCTTTTTGATGAGACTAGTTAAGGTATCTCAGCATGTCTTAGTATGAGCTCTATAATTTAGATGCCATAAAATAATTCGCTATTGCTTTACATTTTCAAAACCCTACTAGATCAATACCATTTGCTGTCTTTCTCCAGTAGAGCTATAGGAGTAATCAATTTGGGGAAGGTATTGCTAGCCAAAATGGGGAGAAAAAAAGGGGGAAAAAACAAAGCAACAACAAAACAAACAAACAAACAAACAAAAAAAACAAAAAACCCAACCCTAACCTTTGTTTTGTTCAAAGTGTTTCATTCTGTTGTATTTTTAAGGCTTCTTACTACATTTAGATATATTTAGAAATCATGGAGCATTTCAAAACAAAACAGTAAAGCTGTTGGTGAAATGCTTTCCTT